AAGAAACAGTACGATCGTTGATTTGATGAATTGATCATGGTTAAGAATTTTGCTTTAGATGACAGGTGCTTCCACCTGTGAATAAATCAATCAATACTTTATAAGACCTTTTGTCTTTTCATGCAGCTCCCAAAGCAAAGAGGCAACAGTGTTCAAATGTTTTGTTCTCATTCTTCAGTAGTGCCTCCTTCTCTACATCAATTCTAATCTGAATCAAATGAAAGTCAAACTTTTTTTTTTTTTTTTTTCTTTTAAACCAATAGGCATAGCTGTAAGGACAATATTGGCAAGGTGAAAAATAAACAACTACAAAGAATTACAAGGTTGGAAGAAAATTCAGGAGGTCAACTGATCCAACACTCTTTGCTTCTTGCCCCATGTAACTTTTGGGCATCTCCAACCAGGAGACCCCACAAACATTCTGGGCAACCTGTGCCAGCGCTCCATCACCAGCACAGCACAGAAGTGCTTCCTTGTATTGTTGTGGTTTCACTCAGCAGGAAGCTAAGCACCACACAGTTGTTCACTCACTTCCCCCAGCTTCCCTGTGGGAGATAATTGAGGGAAAAGAAAAAGCAAAGTACAGCTTATGAGTTGAGATCAAACTATTTATTTACTAACCTAGAGAAAAGGAAAAGGATCATCGTTATAACTATATTTACACGTGTGCATGTGTATCATCAACACTGTTTTTCTTCTGGAACTAAAACATAGCATCATACCAGACATTCTGACAAAAAAAAAAAAAAAATAAAAAAAAAAAAAATTAAAAAAAAAAAAAAAAAAATAAAATAAAAATAAAATAAAAAAAAAAAAAAATCCCCCAAATTCCATCCCAGTTGAAATTAAGACACATTCAGAAGGAATCTCCTTTATTCCAGTTTATATCTATTATCTTTTGACCTGGCACTGAGCACCACTGAAAACAGCCTGGCTTTGTTCTTTTTACACCCTCCTTTCAGATGTTTCTATACACTGATGACATCCCCAACTCTCTCAGCCTCTTTATGGGTGAAATTCTCTGGTTCCTTCATCATCCTGGTGGCCTTCTGCTGGACTTACTCCTGTCTATGTCCCTCTGGTACTGCAGAGCCCAGAGCTGGACTCAGCACTCGAGGTACGGCATCAGCACTACTGATGCTGTACTGTACTGATGAATACAGAGGAAGGATCACTTCCCTGTCAACACTTTGCCTAATGTAGCCCAGGATACTACTAACTTTCTTCGCAGGAAGGGCTAGTTGCTGGCTCATGTTCAATTTGGAGTTCACCAGGAAACCCAGGCCCTTTTCTGCCAGGCTGCTTTCCAGCTGGGTGGCTCCCAGCATGCCCAGGTGCCTGGAGGTGTTTCTCCCAAAATGCAGGACTTCTTCTTGTTGGACTGCATGATGTTACATTAGCACAGTCTGTCACAGTCTCTCTACAGAAAGATTTGCTTTGCTTCTTGGATGGCTGACATACAAAGTACCACCATATGAAAGGGATACCAAAGTCCTTGCATTCAGAAAGAAACTTCACATGAAGTCAAATAAGTGTTTCCACACAGTCAGTGAATGCATACCACAGCAATGTCATAAAAAGCACATTAAAATGTAGCAACTCATACTGAAAAACAAATTAGTTAAGTAAACCATGTTTCTCCCCTTCATCAAGGATACATACACTTCTTAGGGTCTTTAGTAAGGTTGGATAAAAATAATTCAGATAAAATGGCTTTAAAAACAGGTATTTTTTGTTTTCTTCTTCAAGTGCTTGTACATCCATTCTGTGTTTATCCTTAGATGAAGAAAACAACCATCACAGTTTCAAAGAGCTCACAAGTTTCCCACATGAAGGAAATAAAATTCCATAGGCCATCTCTAATAATCCCCAAAGCCTCAGAAAAAAACTATTATTATTATTATTATTATTCAGAACATAGTGCAAGGAAGATTCAGCTGTAAGGTGAACCTTGGCTGAAAGACAAACTCTTTAGCTCTCAATTGGCAGCAGGAGACTAACAGTATCTGACTCTTACTGTGACAGTATTTTTGGTGACAGATTGCGAAACCCTGCTATTTTTGCATTAATAGAATTGTTAAACAGAATACAAGAGAGCCAGAGAAAAGCTGAGGATCTGAATTCTTCTAAAAGGTTGCACTGTTTTAGGCAGAAAGCCAAGTCCAAATACATGGCTGTAGAAACAAACGGAGGCAGAAGAAAATCCATGGTGTCTCTAGACACCTGGCACTAGGAACAACCCCATCTACTCTCAGCCCAAAGGGGAACTTCTCTGGTACAACATTAGGTAGAAAACTTGGTGTCTAGACAGCAACCTTCAGGCAAACAGGATGGAACCCCATTTACACTACTTTCTTTCCAAAAGGGAGTCATGCTCCTTGTGCCTTCCTATCTCAGCAGCAGACTCCTATCCAAAAACCTGAAAATCTCAAGACAGGCACAACACAGAAGAATTTTATTTTCCAGAGCAGAAAATTTCAGTAGTAGAATGTCCCTTATTTCAGGTAGGTTTTGCCCCTACAAATCATCTTCCTTTACAATCATCTTCCTTTAATTTTAGCTCTTGTTCTGCTCTTGATACAAATTATCAACTAGACCAACAGAAGAGTGAACAGAACTCACCAACTGATATCCTATCAGTTTCTTTACTCAAATATAAGAGACTGAGCATGTCTCCAGTTTAACCTTAACTATGAATGCTCACTCAGCAGTCACATGTCTGATTAAGAGTATCTTCCTTCCAAGAGAACAGATGGCTCAATTTCATTATCAGAAAACTTTATACACCATACAAAGGTTGGAGGGAGGTGGGCGATAGGGGGAAGAGTCAAATCAGACAAAAGAAACACCACAAAAGACAAACATATCAAAATTAGACTCCAAGAACTCGGAATTTTTAATGTTAAGGAAAGCCCTTGTGAAAAAATGTGAATGTCCTACTCATCTTGGACATCATGTGAGATAGGAGGGGCTGATGTGAACAACTATAAATATTTAAAATGTCAAAATGTTTTCTAACTAGGTTTACTAGCAGTGCAAACTGATTTAATCTGCAGTCTACTGACATGTTCTGCTGATCTCCCATCTTACGACCACAACTACTATTCATGTTTGGAATAAGTGGCAGAAAAGAGGCATATAAAGACTAACTAAATATGAATAGTTAGTAAATCACTTTTCTAGAGAGTCTAGTGATAAAAAAAAGTAAATCATTAAAATCTTTAAGTAAAGTCTAACACATTACCCCTCCCAGCTAAATTTATAATCTAGAAATCTTTTCAATCTTTTCACAAGGCAATAAAAATGGCACAGTTTTAATATAAAAGCATTCCAGTACCACAGAATCACAGAATGGCATAGGAAGGACCTCAAAGATTATCTTGTTCCAAACCCCCATCTGTCAACAGGGTTGCCAACAACTGGATCAGGCTTCCCAAGATTCCATCCAACCTGGCACTGAACACCTCCAGGGATGGGGCACCCACCGCTTTTCTGGGCAACCTGTGTCAATGCCTCACTATCCTCTAAATAAAGATGTTCTTCTGACATCCAATCTAATTCTCCTCTTTTAGCAGAGAACTATTCCCTCTTATCTTGTCACTATTAGCCCATGTAAAAATAAATAAATAAATCAGTCTTCCCTCTGTTTCTAAGTTGCCTTTAAGTACTGGAAGGTCACAAGGAGGTCTCCCTAGAACCTTCTCTTCCACAAGCTGAGCACGCCTAGCTCCCTCAGACCTTAATCTTTGGAGAAATGCTCCAGCCCTATGATCATTTTCATGGCCTTCCTTTAGATCTGCTCCAACAGCTCTGTGTCTTCGGCTGGAGGTCCTAGACCTCAATGTAATACTGCAGGTGTTCACAAAGGCAAAGTAGAGCAGGACTATCGCCTCCCCCCTTGCCCTGCTGGCAATCTGTTTTGATATAGCTAAGGACACTGTTGGCCTTCCAGGCTTCAAATACACACTCTTGGCTTGCATCAAGCTTTTCACCCACCTGAACCTCTAAGTCCTTCTCCACAGGGCTGATCTTAATGCTCTCTTCTCCCAGTCTGTCTGTACACATCCGGGATTGCCCCAGCCTGAGTGCAACTTGCACTTGGCCTTGTTGAATCTCATTAGGGTCACTTGGCCCCACTTCTCAGACTTGTTCAGGTCCCCTAGGATGCTATCCCTTTCTTCTGTTATATCAACTGTACCATTTAGCTTAGTGTCATCAGTAAACTTGCTGTGAGTGCACTTATTCCCATTACATCATTAAAGCCTCATCAAGTTTTCCATTAGATAACTTCCTTAAAAAAAAAAAAAATAATAATAATAATCACAACTTTGAAAGTAACTAGCTAGATACCCTTCCTTCCAGCTAAAATAGTCTTTAATTACCATATTCCTTACTTAAAAGGTTTTCCTGGACCCTACAGTGTCAAACTTACATTAATACATCATTTATAATAATAAACTGGTTGGACCAGATGATCTTGGAGAGCTGTGATTCCACAAAATACCCACAGAATCCAGTGTCTGTTCACATTAACAGAGAGAGCATGCGTATAGTTCTCTGCCTGTCCTACCTTTCCTTGTCATATGTATCAGGGATTCATGCTTTCAACATATTAGGCCTATGTTCTAATTTTAAGCTTGTTTAAAGTAGTTAAAAAAACAATGTCTTTAAGACACTAGCATCTTGCAGACTATGGAGTAATATTTTGAATTAACATGCATACAGTAATATTTGTATTTTTCTGGAATTATTCCATATGACACATGTTGATTTTGAGGGTTAAAATATAAGTTCTGACAAAGTATTAAATTTTCAAGCTATCTCTCATCACAACTTCTGTAACTGTTCTACAGTCTAAGGGTTTCTGGAAAGCCACGAAGGCACCTTAGCACTTAGAACTCTATTATCTACATACAAGAAACAGAGCAGGCTACACGAAAGCTGTTTTATTTCTTGCTACTGCAGCATGGCGATTGTCAGAAATGATTTCAGAAACTCACCATTTTCCAAGCAGACTCTCTGACAGATCTTGTTCAAAAGAAGCTCCTGACGTAATCGAAAAATTTCAGCTTCTAGTGCTTTAACTTTCCATTTCCAGTTGAAGTCTTGTTCAGATACAAGTTTGGCAAGGTGCTCAGTGTATTCTTTGCAGCTCTTTCCTGGTGGTTTGGAGTGGATAATGGCAAAAGCCAGTGCCAGTTTTGATATTTTCAAATACCAGATTTGATTTTCTCTTCTGTCTTTGACTCCTATTGCATACAAAAAAAAAAAAAAAAAAGAAAAAAAGAAAAAATACCTTCACCATGATTTTATTAAAGCAAATTGCACACACTTTCCTTAGCTTTGAAAGCCATTTAACAGTGAGACCAATTATCTTATTTCTACCACAATCCAAAAATCAACCTAGGACAACAGAAGAAATATAAATAACTACAATTACATAGTCTACAATGTGAGACTAAAACATCCATGAGCTGTGCTTCAGTACTAACACCAATAAACATAGCATTTGATAACAATTATGGAAATCAGAAAACAGTTCAAACAGGCTTATACTAGCAACATATTAAATAGCAATGTTATTTCAACTAAAACAGAAGTGAAAATGCTAAAAATCCTAGGAAAAAAATAAAAGAAAAAAAATCACTAAAACCCTATGGCTGAAGAAAGGTATTATATTAGTTTAGACCCAACACATACGATTTCTTGATAGGGTATCAAAAAGTCTCTAAAACTTTAAAAATTCTCTAAAAATAAAAACAAACACCTGAGGATATTGGTAGCTTCCAGTTTTGGATACCTGGTACTGCTGTACCTTTGGTTTTAAGTCTTCATAAGCATCATATCTCACGCTTGCAGAAAAGTCTTTTCAGAGATACTGCTAACAAAATGCAGACTCAGGCTGGAGTAAAGGTGCCTTTTCTTCAATTCCTGCCATCAAGAACTGTAAAGTCAGTCCTTTCCATTCAAAACAGGAATTCACGTGTTCACATGTAACTTACACAAATTCACATCAATAAGGTTCTTTGCAACAGCAAAGAAACTTTCACTGAATAAAATCCTCCCTATGCTTTTCTCCTAGCCCTAACACAAAAATTCTCAATCATCCTATTTTTTAAATCTTTTTATCCAAGAAGCTATGAATGAAGCACTACAATAAATGGTGTTGAATATCTGAAACAGTAACAGCACAGAATTCAGTGAGGCATTTCATGCCATCCTTTCACCAGATCGTCTGAATCACTAAACTGATAATTTCCCCCTCAACTTTAGACATAAGTCACCTCACATTATGTATTTATTTACCCAGCAGAGGCATTTAGAAAAACAGATGCCTTTTGGGGTTTTTTTTCCCCACCTTCCCTATGCTACTGAACATTCCTGTACATTCCTTGCATGCCACCCATTCAGATACACACCATTCACATCTTGAAGCATGAGCACAAAGTGTAAGATAGAAATTCCTAGGGATCCATCTAGACCCATGTTCAGAATTATTGTTCTCCACTTGAAATCTTACATTTCTGCTCTACCCATGCAAAAACAATTAGCCTAAGCATCAGTGTACTGAAAATGATTAATGAAACAGCAAGATCTCAGAAACTAGCCAACACTATCTATACCATTATATACCTACATCATTCAATACATAAACAATATCTTTGCATGATTTCTGCCTTTTAAAATCCATTTCACACAAGTTTTTTAAGAATTCCATGGGAAAAGCATAAGTTACTTCCCCCCAAAAGAATCTACACTGCTGTGGGACAACAATCTGCTGTAAGGCTCTTTTGCCTTATACATCAAAGGAAGCACTTTGCAAACACAGAACCATGCCAGTAATTGAGCTACCATCAAAGCTGTGCATAAAATGAGATACCTAGAATCACACAGAAAGAAGAGTATGTAGTAACTTTTAAGGATCAAAGATCTTTGCCTTTGAACTTGAAATACACTTCCCAGATTCTCATTGTCTTAAACATAAGTTTCACCCAGGTATCACTCAACACACACATCAAGCTCCATTCTTACAAAGTTTATCTGCAGAGCAGAGCTATAGATTAAGGCAGACAAATTCTTCTTTCAAATGGATTTTTATTGCTGTTTTCTCATTTTGAGTTCTCTGGGGAACTCTTTGCAAAATCTTTCTGGTTCACCTGCTTTTATAGAAGAGAAAGGCAATACTAACTTTCTGCTTTGTAATATATTTTGTCAGTACAAGCATTTTTTCACAAATTACATTCAAGAAAGCTGCAAGAAGGTATGGGGAAAAACAGTATTTAATTTGAGTGCTTTGTGACTATCCACACATTTTTTATCATTACAAAAAAAAAAAAAAAAAAAAAAAATCAATATCAATACCTTTTTTCTATCGTGTTGTTTATTTCCACTCATACAGCAAAGAATCAGTTGTCTGTTTGACCACTGATGCTTTATGATCCTGCCCTTCATATGCCTTGGCCCATACCTCTTCATTATGAAAGTAAATCAGTAAGTCCATACATCCTCTGAAAATCCACTACTGAAAGGATGTCTACGCTACTAGAAGGCCAAGAAGTTAGGAAGTCCTTTCTGAATATTCCAAGTTCTCAGCCCTTGTAGTTGAAATATCCAGTGATTCACAGTAGTAAATAAATAAATAAATCACATAAACCGTTCTAGCTTTGCTTTAAAACCAGTTATCAAAACACTTAACAGCAATCCACATTAATCCTCACAGCACAGAATTAAGCAATGAGATTTGGATTTAAAGAGGCTTTTTCCTCTTTAAATTTCCATACAGACTTCTGCAGTCACAGTTCTTACTCTGAAAAAAGGGAATTACTTTTGTGCAAAAAACTCTCGTAGGGCTGCTATTCAAAGAAAAGCCAAAAAAATCCACAAAACAGTACTGATAACAAAGATGGTTTTCTTTAGAAACACGACCGAAAAAACCCCAATATTTGGAGAAATAATACTATTGGAATCTTGAAACCAGGTAATTCACGGTTAGCGGTGATATACCTACATGCATTTCTAGAAACAATGAATTTTATGAAGATTTTATAGAGAATAAACAGCTTATTTCTCTCTTGTCTTTTGCTCTTCCTATCCCCATCTCGTTCTCCTTTTATGATCACAGAAAGAGATGTTTCCAGGACTAAAAGCAGGTATTGCAGAAACCAATTCAAGTTTCCCACACCTCCCTAAATGGAAAGCTGCTCTCTCACAAACCACTGTATAAAAAGCTCCTAGAAAATTACACACTGGATGATGCTGCTAGAGATTCGCCAACTGTGCATTAGCAAAAATTGCAAGGCAAGCTGTTGCTTTCAGGAAGTATCACACCAAAGACAAGCAACTGTGAATGCATTCCTCTAAAAGCATATTGGCAGCTACAGTTATATCAATAATATTTTTGCTCACATCAGCATAGAAATGACACTATAGACTAGGAAGAAAAAGGTTAAGAACTAAACCAGAAATTATCTTAGACTGGAAATTACAAAACAAGACCATGACAAGAGCAGAAAGAAGTCATCATGCATCCTAGCTCCTAATGTCAAAATATATCAACAGGAATAGAAAGAAGAATCATTCACGTCTGGTACCTAAGTTACAGTAATAATAACAACTTAGAAAGCTCTGTTTGCATTCAGTGCTAAGGAGGAGGTTTCTGATTCTCTCAGCAGCCCAGCTAGAAGTAGCACCCTCACTAAGGCATACAGACCAATGACAAGTTTCCTATGCAAAGCCTCAAACCTCACTGAGAGCACAGTCAGAGGACAGGATCAGCTAAAACAGATGTCAAACAGGCCTGGTGTCTCCAGATTCTTGACACAAAGAAGGAAACCTATCACCAGCCCTCTTGCTCTCAAACCCTACTTAGAATCACAGAATCACAAGGTTGGAAATGATCTACAAGATCATCTAGTCCAACCACCCTCCCATTCCTATCGGTGCCACAAGCACCAAACCATCTCTCGTAGCGCCTCATCCAGGCGCCTCTTGAACACTGCCAGGGACGGCGACTCCACCACCTCCCTGGGCAGCCATTCCAGTGCCTGACCACCCTTTGAGAGAAAAAGTTTCTCCTAATATCCAACCTAAAGATAAGTCTCAGCTGTGGAAGATCACTGAGCAAGTGTTCAGATGCTGAAAGAAGTACAAAAAAATTTTAGAAATCATAAATTTGTAGAGTGGCTTGAGTTGGAAGGCACCCCAAGGATCATCAAGATTCCATTCCCCAGTCAAAGGTAGGGTTGCTTGCCACTAGAGCAAGAACTAGATCAGATTACCCAGGGTCCCATCTAACCTGGCCTTACACACCTCCAGGGACATGGTATCCACAGCCTCTCTGGGCAACCTGTTCCAGCACCTCAACACTCTCAGTAAAAGCTTTCCCTTGACATCTAACCTAAATGTCCCCTCCTTTAGTTTAAAACCATTCCCCCTTCTTCAATCACTATCTACTCATACAAATTGTTTTCCCACGTTTATAAACTCCCTTTAGGTACCATGAGGTGTCCTTGCAGCCTTCCCTTCTTCAGGCTGAACAAGCCTTCCTTCAGCCTGTCTTCACAGGAGGGGCATTCCAGACCTTGGATCATCATTGTGGCCCTCCTCTGCACCCTCTTCAAAAGCTTCTCATCTTCCCTGCACAGGGGCCCCAGGCCTGGATGCAGTACCCCAGATGGGGCCTCTCAAGGGCAGAGCAGAGGGGGGACAGTCACCTCCTTGGTCCTGTTGGCCACCCTACTTCTGATGGAACCCAGGATACCATTGGCCTTCTGTAATCCAAGAGCACACTGCCAGCTCATGTTAAGTTTTTCATCAACCAGGACCCCTAAGTCTCAAAGAATTCTTCTCCCAGTTTATATACTTGTTTAGGATTACCTCAAACCAAGCAGTCACGAGCTGCCCTGAACAGCTCAATGGTAGATGACAAAGGGGAACAAAGAGGTGATAAAAGATCTTTTGAGGACCTTAGATATAATCACAGAATACTCCGACTTGGAAGGGACCCAAGGGATCATTGAATCCAGCTCCTGGCTCTACACAGCATCACCCAAAATTCTCAAATCCTACGTTTGAGAGCAATGTCCAAATGCTCCTTGAACTCCAGAAGATTGGGCCTGTGCCCCAGGGAATCTGTTCCAGTACCCAAACACTCTCTGGTGAAGAATCTTTGCCTAATCCCCAATCTGACCCTCCTCTGAAGCAGCTTCATGCCATTCCTTCAGGTAAGAAAATTAGCAAGAAAGCAGAAATAATCAGGTTAAATCTGAGACACAAACGCTACCTTTCTACAGTGATTTGCTGTTTCTGCAGCTGCATTTGATGCAGCAGTTCATACTGTTCCTGTAGCAATTCCTACACCAGTTCCTGTACCACTTGGTACAGGAAGATACCATGCTGACAGATCTCACCCCAGTTCTGAGGCTGCCCACAACAAGTAAACAGAAAGAAAGACTCAAAAATAAGAAAAAAAACATATATTTTAGATAATCATCTTTAAAGTTCGCTTTATTCTCAGTTGGAAACTTCATATATGTAGCACTACTCTAAATTCCAAAGACTTCACATTATTGTTAAAGAATATCAAAACATGCATTGGAATTATGGAAGTCTCTTGGTGAAGAACCTTTCCCTAACCTCAGTTAGCTCAGAAAGGGTTAAACTTAAAGTCAGCGGTCAGATGAAAATGGACTACTCACTAAGGAGAAAAAGAAAGTGATGAAGTAAAACAAACAAACAAAAAAGCCCCACCAAAACAGTGACCTTGGGATGAGCTGAGTGTTCCCTAGGCAGTTTTGGGTTCCTCTATCAGGCTCTTATCACAGAAACGCCTGCCTAAACCAGACATTGAGGGATTAGCTAATCAGCTCACACAGGCAAAGCTTCTGCTCAAGAACTTTTAAGAAGTCCTTCAGGAAGTGTTTGTGGGTAAGGGAGGTGAATTTTAAATAATTCATCTGTCTGAACCCTACCCATAAATTTTTGGCTGACCTTGAAGACATGGAAACCACAGTGATAGGAGGGTTAGTTTCAGTGGTCTTTACAGAAACAGGGAAATACTCAGATTTAAAGTGGCAAGGCCTTCAAAAATAAAACCAAAACCTGAACTTATTTGAAATCATTAAGTATTTGAAGAATTGTTTGCTGTTACAGGACATCACACCTGGGTATCAACCTTAAGTTCACACACGTAACTCACATCTAATAATGGAAGAAACTTCAAATGCCTCTGACAAAAACCTTACTGTTTTGAGAACATCAATTTCTTGTTCAGACCATTATCATCCAAAATTGAAGACTTTGAGAATTCATGTAGTAAGACACAAAATAGACTATAATGCAGTTAACTTCCAGGCATCAAAGAGCTCTGTTCTCCTCATACTTGAAATAGATGGTTACAAACTAAAGGACTTACGAGGGCAGCACTAAATTGCTGCCACCGCTGCTGTGCAGCTGAAAGTTATTTCACAGTCCCACACAACATCACATTATAAATATTTTAAAAGTTTACAATCCAAATTAAGTGTATGGTCTGGCATTAATGGTACAAACATAATAGGAAAAACAGTTTTGTCTGCACAATTTTCACTTCAACAGGTTTGTCAATTACATGCTGCAGATAAAGGTGAAAAATCACCCATATCTGTGTGATCTCATGCACTACATGATGGCAACCAAGTTACTGACCTGTTATAATGGAACACAAAATAGTTCACTAAACGATGCAAGCGCTCTAGCAGAACTGAGCTGCAGACACATATGGCTATAACATTAAGCAACAATGAAATAAACTTGATTTAATTAGTATGCCTAACATAATGCTGTCTTTTATGTATATAATAAATAATGATAATGGGACAGCTGTATAATCAAGATGAACTAAAGTATGCCTTGTGTTCCAATTAAGCAGCTTTTATTGTAAAATATGTAAAATGTTTATTAAACCAATGCTGCTTGGCAGTGTCATTTTTAAACAAAGATATATAACATGTACATACTTACTGAAACATTCAGTTTTATTACCATTAGTCTAAACAACACCTTCAGCATAGCCATTTTCAAATATCTCCTTTTATATAAAAAGAACAAGATGTTAAAATGATACTGAAACAAACAAACAAAAAATCTGAAATGTCAAAAGCACAAAGAAACTCAATTAAAACGTATTGTGAAATTTATTTCTTCAAACCATTTAATTCTTAAATCATGTTGACCTCTGAAACGAAGTCAGATAAATTCCCAAAAAATAATTAAAGAGCTTCTTAGATTCACCAACTATATAAAACATTGCCTAGCACTAAGAACATAAGCAAGCATAACCCCCTCCGGATTTCAGTGAGACTTAAGGGGCAGGATTTATCTCCTCCTGAATACGGAAATCTACAGAGTAGAAGACTTCAGCTGAGCTAACTGTCTAGACTTCCGTTAAGATCAATGGGCAGAAACAGGGATTTCTAAAGTCAACAGTGAGAGAAGCGATTCGTACATCTGCCGTGTGATTAAGTCAGTCATGCCCCAGAAACACTTGTTTCCCTTCCTGGGCTACAGAGGGAGTTCAGGTGACTAGACATGATGCACAAACACATCTCGTGAACAGCAAACTTCAGAGAGATGAGTGCACCACAAGCAACTAAAGCTCAGATCTTCAAAAAAGTGCCTAACCAAGCAGGGAAATGATGCAGGGCTAAAATTAGCACTTATTATAAGAAGTTTGTAATCCTAGGTCTTCTAAATATCTCCGAAGAAATTAACAAAACACAAAAAGCATAGGAAAAAAAAAATAAGAGAACAGCCTTGTGAACACTTAGTAGCATTCACGAACAGAAAACTTTGCATACGTGTGCTAAGTAAGACAAGTGAAGCATCAAGCACATCCAGAATTAAATGTGCATAAACCAACCTGTTTAGCCTTTTATAATGTTAGTATACACTAGAGTTCAGTGAGATCATGTGAAGAAATTGTACTTTATTTCCTCACATTTGAAAATGTGCAAACTCCCATTTTTAGATACCAAAGAAAACTACTCTCTCAACAACAAGAATGTCAATACTGCCATACCTATATTACATATTTAGCTCTTTGCAGGTTTGGGCTGTTTTGACATCTTGCTTTCTGAACAGAATCAGCTGACAGGGTTGGTTCTCTTAAAACCTTTCTCCCTCCCCCAGCCACCCCAACATACTGTTGTAGTGACGCTTCTATAAGAGAAAAAAACATACCAGATTTTACAAAGAAGTATCCTAAATCACTCAAAAGTTCAACCCTATCACTATTATTAAAGAAACGTTACAAACAATTGATAGCAGGGACAGTGTATGAAATACAGATGGCTTAAAGAGGTAAAAAGATTCTGCTTTTGTTCTATTCCCATCAGAATAGACCAAGTAAGAAAACATAACATAAGCAAGAGATTTCTGATTGCTTTAAATTATGTATACATTCCAACTACAAGTGGAGAATTCATCTTGCACTGGTTTTATTTTTCAAGGAGATCTGTTTGTTTGTTTTTGCTGTGTTATTTACAATGTTACCTAGTCAATCTACCACACATTACTGTTACTAATCCCACGTTTTTCAGGGGTGGACACAAAAGGGAATTTATCATATAAAGCCTGCTGTTCAGAAACTAACGTCTAACTCAATGGTGTGCATTTTTCTGCTCTTACAATGACACAGATGCTTACTTTCCAAAACATAGCTGTAATCAAACCAATTGGATGTAACTCCACTTGCTTTGGAAATTAAGGATATGCTTTTCATTACAGCTTTATAAGTGGAAGTCAGACCGTTAGTCAATTACAAATATTCACATGTGCCAACAACATTCAGTTACATTAAATATAAAACCACAATTGGTATTCTGGACCCTGAATCATAATCTCAGGCTGACAAGTAGCTGTACCTCCAAGTTCTACCTATTACAACAAGTGCAACAAGCTGTTCCTAAATGCAGGATTTCAGAGCAGATTAAAAAAAAAAATAAATAGCCTAGAAGATTACACAGATTATTTTGCACCTTTTCTCTTCCCATATACATTGAATAGAACACCACCATACTGTTCAAATTTTATCCAAGTAATTCCATTCTCATACAGGATCTTAAACCTGCCACATCAGTACTTCTCAGTGGAGAAGTTTCCTTTAAATAACTTACAAGAAGGCTTGGCTTTCCTACCCAAATTTTATATTGGAAGAATTAAAGGTGACACGGCCCAGAAGAAAGCAAATGTTCTTGAGACGAGGCACAGAGATAGATTCCTAGAAGCCTATGGAAAATATACAGTAAAAGACCAAAGCTTTACTACATTATAGATACTAACTTAACTATAATCACAACGAAGCATTTGAGTAATAATTTATGAAGCACTGAAAGACAGCAAACTAAGAACGTGAGGTGCCAAGCATTCACAACCGAGACCACACAAAATAAATAATGCTTTGCACTTTAATTCAATTTAAGAGCTACTTCGTTCAAATTAAGAAAAGGAAACAATTTGCTCTGTTAGTGACTGATAAAAGCACGGAATGAAAAAAGACTTATTTTTAAAAGCCGAACAGCATTAAAAACAAACAAACAAAAACGCACCTATAGAAGACAATTTAGCAACAATACAACGTGCTTAAGTGTTATTTGCATTAAAAAAGAAACAAACAAAAAAAAAAATGATCAGTTTCGCCTGCAGCCATGCCCACCTACGGCAGTCCGTGGACGCCGCAACGGCCGCGGCCGACAGACACCGCCCCACCGCGGCCCCGAAATGGCGGCGGGCCGAGGGCATCTCTTGAGGCCGCGAGCTCGCCTAGCTTCTCTTACCGCCTCCCCAGCCTACCGAGCTCGAGGCTGCCAGGAAGCCCCAACTTACCTGCAGCGAGTTCCCCACCCTGGGGGACGCACCTCGGCTCCATGGAGGGGAGCAGTGGCGGGAAGCTGTGCTCACAGGCTCCACGGCCGCACCTCGGCTCCAAGCGGCCTCCTCGAGGGTAGCGGCCCGGCTCTGTACTGAGGGACCGCACTGAGGAGAGCAGTCACCCCGATCCAAGGCTTTATGGGCCCTGCTCTGCAGATTTTATTTGCGATTGAAATGGCGGACGTCCTGCAAAGAGAAGCACATGCAGAGACAGCGTTACATCTTTTATGCCCTATTACCCAACACTTCCTCCCTTGGTTCCTCATCGGCTGCGTACTTCAGGTTCACAAATCCTCCCGACGCTTAACTAAACATATGGATACCTGCTAAACATAAATCATTGCTGTCTAAACATGTGTACTGCTCATTGTCTGACTTCTCAAGTTTTCTGTCACACAGGTCTTGTGTGTCCAGCACCAAAAATTAGTAGTCTTTCAACATAACGAGCCTATTGATGTGCTTGTCACACTGTGGGCTAACTTGTTTTTAACTCAAGGCTCAGCGGTATTGCAGATGGCTGGGCAAACAAGAGCTCAACTCTTTCTACCTATAAATTACTCCATCTATCTAATCTCTGTGACCATATCTATCTGCTGAGCATGCGAAGACTATCAGAGACCTCTGATGAAGTAAAAAGACCCTTCTGAAAAGAACTATTAGTAAATTATCTTGTTCTAATGCAGAAACAACATTCCATTCATACAGTAGTGCTTTTATTTGGAGCTCATTATCAGCTGAGTCACCTAAAATGGCCTTGCACACGTTTTTGCACTGATGTGTGCTTGGTGTCAAGCCCAGTTAGTAGCAGTACTGAGAATGAAGCTTGATCATGGTGTTTGAGTCTCTGTAAAGATATCAGCCAATAGATCAGGCTGCCCAGGGTCCGTCCAGCATGGCCTTGAAGACCTCCAGGGATGGAGCTGCTACAATCTCTTTAGGCAGCTAGTACCAGCACCTTGCCATTCTGTGAGTGAAAAACCCTGGCATCAAATCTTAATCTTCCCTCCTTTAGTTTTAAACCATTTCCCCTTATCAAATAAGTTATTATTGTATGTACAATTATATTTTTTACACGAAGTATTGAAAAGTTTGTATTAAGGCCTTCTGGACCACAAATGGAGTCTGCAGCTGAGGAGGGAAGGAGGCAAGGTGAGAAAACAGTAACAGCCAGTTTCATGTGATGGAGTTAGGTTGATCAGAATGTATGAGGCTTTTCAGTATAGGAAGATTGGTCTTTGTAAAGAGATGTGACAAGCAATATATACTTTTACAATTTTCAAGCCCATTTTTTTATTCTCCGATTACTTGCACAGCTTTGTTTTTAACACTTTAAGCCCATCCCTTCATAAAAGCTCTTTTATCAAGAGACATAGTGCTAGATTTCTGAGCTACTGTGTTTTTAAAAAATCTAATTTGAAAAATAAGTTTACCATCTCAACTAGAGAAAAATATTAACACGTTGGAACTTTCATTTCAGACTTCAAATGATAGAAATAAGCTTGACTGAATAATTTAGAGTATATTTTCATTCTGGTTTTGTACTGAATTTTCGAGAAAGCCCAGGGGAAAAAAATAGGGAAATAAAATATTCTTCAGACTTTTTTAAAAAATATTTTTTTTACAGACACAATGTGTCTATTCTTTTCTGTGCATCTTCTGTGCATGCAAGTGATGCAGATACTTTTCAAAGTGGGCACTCATTATGTAGCACAAAACATCCATCTTTTCACGTAATATTTTTAGGTATGATTGAAAGAAAAGATTGAGAGACATTAGTACTTTTACCTCCAAGGGGAAGAATTAAGCAGAAGCAAGTTCATTACTATTTTAAAAAAGAAAGGGGCTCTAACTGCTTTATTTTAGAGTATGAGTCATACCTGCAAGTGGAGGCTAACTGAGAGGCACCAAATCTGAGACCTTCTGCTTTTAAACAGCTGTCTTGGGATAGGATGATTTAGGCTTGATTATTTTATATTTAATTGTTCAAGATGTACTTAAATTTCTTTTAGCTGCATGGCCCTTTTATTTTGGATTTGGAACTAGTAGTAGTCAAAAGGAGTGTTGTCACATACTTCTAAACTCACTGTATGCAACCTGCAGAATACCAGCATCCTGCACTTCTTTACTCTTAGCTCTTAGGGTTTTATTTAAAATGGAAGAATATCAATATTTTCAAGGTGGAAAAAGCTGATTCCTCCCCTCCCCACCCCTCCCCCACCCACACCTTCTGTTTAACCCATGGTTAAACAGAGCATCTCTTTATTATTCATCAGAATGCAGCAAATAAGGGTGCAATCAACTGCAGGTTCACTTTGAGATATATGATTCTGGTCTATGGAAGAACACATTTCAAAAATAATTTGAATGTTTTTTTAAGCTTGTATTAACTTTTTCCTCAGTATTCTCAGTGATTATCTAATCTAACAGATCAGCTTTGTAATCAAGTAACAGTGAGTGGGCATATGCAGATCTGTGCATGTGTGCAAGCTAAGGATAACCAATAAATAAAAAATAAGATCCAATTTCCATTTTAATATCCAAACACTGAGTGATTAGCAGTTCATGTAATCTCAGGCAAAGCAAAAGTAAAACCAAGCTTTGACTTCAAACAAGCAGTTTGTAGATCATAAAGGGAGCCGATTCTACTAGCTGAAGATAAATTCCTTTGATCTCTATTTCTGAAGGTGCTTTTTGATCTGAAAAACAGTCAAAAGATATATTCGTGGCAAAAGGTCATGCAAAATAATTAGCTGCTTTTATTAATAATTAAATATAAAATCAGTGCAGGTGTTTAATCACATTAGAGGTCATGCAATTTCAGTATTTAATCAATCTATATGCTGAATATTTACAAACAGGTCAGCGGTCAACTAAGAACACAAGAGCACAACCTTCAATCAAATGTTAAGTATAAATAAATTATGTCACTGTAGAACATGCAGGCCTTGCTGGTACTGGATGCCTACAGTATCAACAACATTTTAAGCAAATGTGAAAGTAAAAGTTTTCATTTGGAGCACTACAGTTTGTCAGAATTCATTACACATCTTTATGTTTTAGTGTGTCTCAATTTACCCGTAGGACGAAAGTGCCTGAAAACACGTACAAAATATGTTGTCTCAAATGATGTAGTTTGCAGTTTTGTATTGCTGATGTGGAGCAAGTGCTTACTAACTTGAGAAGAATGAGTGAAAATCACTAACAGTGCCAGTGTCTTCTCATTCATGCTTTCATTCTTCTGTGTTACAGTGCATATTTAATTAAGAATAAAAATTTTGGCATCATGTGTCTTGATTACTTGGCATCACACTCTTCAAAACGGATTGTAAAGTGTTTTCAATTGCTCTATTTTGTATGTATTTATGATGACAGAAATATGGTTCGGGTATATTATTAGCCCCTTTGATCATAATCTGCAATTCTAAACAAATCATCTGATTTAGGATGTTCAGAGAGTTATGCAATGACTTCTTTGTTACTGCACAAATAAAGCATTACCATCAGGAAGGAGATTACACTTCAGCAGCTGAAGCAGTAAAAATTCCCCTTTTCCAAAAACAATGTAAAAAGTTAGACACAATTTGAGAACAGGGAAACAACTTGCTACCAATAAGAGGCAGTATGTCATTGGTTACCATGGTATGCTCTGTTATGAAGAGATATTTCAGAGTGGTTTATTTAAATGCTATCACAGAATCACCATCATTGGAAAAAAACCTCTGAGATCATTCAGTCCAACTGTCCACCTATCATTAATATTTCCCATTAAACAACTTTGACCCTTTACTCCGCTCTTGCTGCTCTGCTCTGTTCTCATGATGCCCTATCTGAAGTACTGCATCCAGTTCTGGAGCCTGTCAACACAAAAAGGACATGGAGTTTTTGGAGCAGGTCCAGAGAAGGCCCATGAAGATGAACAGAGGGCTAGAATACCTCCCCTGTAAGACCAGCTGAGAGAGCTGGGGCTTCAGCCTAGAGAAGAGAAGGCTCTGAGGAGACCTTATAGTGGTCTACCAGTACCTGAAAGGGGCCTATAGGAAAGCTGGGGAGGGACTTTTTATAAGGGCACGTAGTAACAGGTTGAGGGAAAATGGTTTTAAACTAGGTTTAGACTATATATTAGGAAGAAATTCTTTACTGTGAGGATGGAGAGACACTAGAACAGGTTGCCTAGTGAGGTTGTGAATGCCCCCTTCCTGGAAGCATTCAAGGCCAGGCTGAATGGGGCTTTGCGCAACCTGGTCTAGAGGGAGGTGTCCCTGCCTATAGCAGGGGGTTAGAACTACATGATCTTAAAGGTTCCTTTGAACCCAAACCATTCTATGATTCTGTGTCCCTTAGTACAACATCTAAATGTTTCTTGAATGCCTCCACCAACTCCCTGGGCAGCCCATTCCAGTGCCTGACCACTGTCTCGGAGAACTAGTTCCTAATGTCCAACCTGAATCTCCCCTGGAGCACCTTGAGGCCATTCCCTCTAGTCCTATTGCTGCTTACATGGAAAGAGGCCAAGCACTACCTCTCTACAACCGTCATTCAGTTGTAGACAGAGATAAAGTCTCCCTTGAGCCTCCTCCCAGTTCCCTCAGCCACTCCTCATAAGCTTTGTGCTCCATACCCATTACCAGCTTTGTTGCCCTTCTCTGAACACGCTCCAGGGTCTCACTTATATAGCACTATAAAATTAGATGCACACGTAAGATAATGACAACAGATTCAGTTCTCTTCTACATGGTACACATTAGGCAGAAAGAAAACCTTTCCCATGAAGAATGTCACCATTCAGAAACCAATACAAAAAGATTCCCACAAATCCAGGTCAAGAAAAAAGGCAAAGCAGATAATCAGAATGATGGCTGTGCTTCAGAGTTTGAAGACATTGCTATTCCAGACCTAGAGCCTGTGAACTGGATGTAGCCCAAAGTAATTTTCCTCCTTCAGTCCACAAAAAGGAATGCAAATATTTTCTCATTTTGTGGAAGCCTATGCACACTCGCA